GTTTGTGCGCTCATAAAAATGCGTCTCTAATGCGGCATTTGTATGAGTCTAATTGTACAGTGTGTCTGTGTATGTGTGTGTGTGAGAGAGCCTGTGGAAATTGATCCTGGCCTGCCTGACGTTTAATAAATATCCGAATACTGGCGAGTACGCACTTCCGTTTCCTGTTTATTGGCTTACAACTCAACAGACAACATTTTCTATACCCAAATTATGTGACATTGCAGAGGAACAGTGTTGTGTTTTCAGAAAAGTTAGATATTATTTCGTGGGGAACTTTAATCTCATTCGAATTTAAGAGTTAGCGTTTCGTTGAAAATCATATCTTTTTAGGCTCTTAGACTCTTCTTTTGACATGAATATATCATATAACCCTTTCTTAAAACTTAACTTTTATTTCTTTTAAGATTTTCTATAATTATCCCAGTTGCCATAAAACTTAACTTTTATTTCCTTTAAGATTTCCTATAATTATCCCAGTTGCCAAACGGCAACACTAATCGGATCCCTGCGCAATATGGTCCAGAGGAGGCGCAGACCTTGCGTTAATGTCCTTAAATAAGAAATTCATATCATTAATTTGATTTTGTCTCCCTGCCGGTGGACCCTTGACTAGGGTCCTGTGACAATTTGTCAAGTTTAGGAGTGTGTGCGGGGTTGTGCTTGTGTAGTGCATTTCAAATGAAATGTAATTGCTGTGTAAGCCCTACCCATTAGGGTCCTGGCAAGTGCGTGGGCTACATAATGGCAATGCAAATAGTTTGAGTAGACCAAAACAGAGCCTGGGCGAGTCGGAATTAATGGAATTGCATTCCAGCACAGATCCTCGAATTTGCGGCCCAATCCTAAGCAGGCAACTCAGCTAATTGGGCATGTGAAACATGGAAATGAATCGAGGGAAGCTCAAAATAATTTTCAAAGTAACAAGGAGAATTTGGTTATCAAAATTTTGGGATCAAAAAGCGCTTGTAAATCTTTGATTTGCCATTACAAAATGTTCTTATTTTTAAGGTTCATTATAAACTCACAAAATTACACATTTGCACACCAAAGAAAGCATTCCAAAACATCAATATTTTTATCATTCGTAAAACAAAACTTTATTTTCTAATTTACTATTTATTTAAGCAGCCGAGGGAGATGTAGAAATTGCTTGCAATTTAGTTGCAGATATTGATGTGGCACAAGCAAATATTTCGCTCTGTTGACAAACTTTATGCCCAGAAACATTTATTTATGAACAACTCATGCATGCCGAAATTGCATTGAATTCAAAGGATTGCAACGCCATGGGTGGAACTGGTTGGAACTCATTCCCAGACTGTAAATTCAATATATTGGTTGATTCGACCAGTCATGGAAGACCCTAAAATATAATTAGTTTTTCGCTGGAACGCCGCTACGGTGCAACCGGAAACCATTTTATGAAATATTTTATTTAATTATTTCGAATATTGGGATAATTTTCTGACTATGCCATGCCATCTCCCAAGGGGACGTCCCGCCATCCTGTCCCGTCTACTTTTATTCTGGGTTCCGGCCATTTCTGTTGCGGTGATAAAATTTTGACACAGGTTTGCCGACTACGGCCACGCCCCCTTTGATCCGGATTCCGGAATTCCCCGACCGGGCTGAACTAATTAGACGGCGCACCAAAGCGAAAATTTCGGTATTAAAATTGTTGAAAGCTCAAAATTATATTTATGGATCGCGGCAATAATTACGCTAAGCCAATGTGCAAATTGTTATGCCTGTGGTTTCCCCGGGCCCATCACACATGCCAAATGTTTGTACGGCCTGTGAAAACTGGCCATGTAGGTGGCGAACCCTCCGAGTGTAACGCGGAATCATGATATAAAATGCGGATTTCGATGGGGTTTTGGATAACGATAACATTTGACAAGTTGCTGTGATAGCACTGTGTGAGGTTAAATTGTGTTCTTATTAAACAAACATTAGGAATTTAAAAACTCTATTTAAAAACCCCGACCTAAAGTTCCTCCTTGAATTCCTGGATCAACTTCATCCAATCAATGTCCTGCCAGAACGTATGGGCAAATTGCTCCCACTGAATGGAGCAGACGTCGCTGATTATTAGAGGAAATGCCAATAAATTGCAACATTGACGGGTCTCCCAATTCCCGGACTCCCATTAGACACTCCCCTCACTCATTCAGCCCACTTTTCTCCGGAAGCATGTGCGTGAGCTAAGTGCGGGCAAAGTTCAAAGGCGAGTCACACGTTAAACGCCCATTAAATTTAGCTTCGATATGAATGCGATATGTGACCCAGCCCATGCTCCTGCCAATGCCCCTTGGAGAAGGGGTCACGTGTGATTAGACCTGGTCGCGGTCACGCCAGCCGAAACCCCTTATCCCCATTGAGCCATAAATATTGGTAACACAATCTAAGCTCTGTCCGGGGTCAGAACTGGCGCTTGAGGTGCGAAAAGTCGCACTGCCAGTCGGCAGCAGGCGAACACATACACGACATCTGCCGGCCCATACCGCTTCTTATTTCGTTACGCCCCAAGTCCCCAACTTTCGCCCCCTCCAATAGTCTGCTTTAAATCGCTACAAAATTGGTTTTCAATTTTTAAACGCCTCTCCAGGCTATCGGCTGCGAGGTGCCAGGTCCTAGGTCCTTCGTCCTCCGGTTCGGATCCTTGCGTGCCTTTGCTTCTTGTCCTTTTGTCGTCATAGAGCCACACAACCGCCCTATTCGGTACACAGAAAGTTTATACTTTTTAATTTTTCACTTTTTCATTTTATGTAGATTAATATGACAAAAATTCTTTATCTTTTCATTACGAAATCTATGTGTCCCATAACATATTGTACCTTCAATCATTTAGTTATAAAAATTGCAAAAAAAAATTATTTTTCGCAGTGTACTCAGTATGCCCGTGTCCTATGCTCTTATGTTTTATACATGATTTTTCCACGCGCCCGCTTCGGTTTTGTGGAGTAGTTTGCTCCGGACCCGGGAGCCAGGCCATAATTCACGTAAGGCGTTAATCTGTGACACCCAATGCTCTGCAAAGCCAACAACATGTGTCGGGGATGGAGATCACAGCTGCTGTTTGAGAAGATGCTTGTAGTTGGAACCAGGGACCCACCCGGGACCCTTGCATTTTGTCGCCGTGTGAAAAATGGCACTCACACTTCAGAAGGGTTAATTACTCAAAAGGTCAATCGATTGGGTGTTTTTCAAGCTCTTATCCCCTTGTTTTCCCAACCCATCAAATAAAATAATAAAGAGTGAGGAAATTTTGGTTTTTTCAAGTTTTTTTTTATTCATTTTTTTGTTTTAGTTTTTTCTACTCATTGTTTTTAACATTTTTTTGTGTTGGTAATTTTAAAAAAATTTTTTACTTTTTTTTGTTTACGTTAGTTTAGAAATTTTTGTGGTTTTCCGTTTTACATATACATATCCATATATATGCATTCGTATAATTAATTATTAATATAATAATAGTAGTAAATATTACTCTTTATGGTTTAAACTATCACGTTTTTCACAATAATCATTTCTTTCGTTTTGCTTAGTTTTTCTCTCGCATTTTCCATATTTAAGTAGCTTACAAAATTACTTTTAATAGAGTTTCCATTATGTTCATTTCGTAGGTCTGTGTTTTGTTTTCTTTTTTGTATCGTTATCATATTCGTAGTTAAATTTAAATTATTCATATAAAAGTTGCAAACTTAAAGGGCACATAAAAAGTCAATCAAATGTGTAGTTTAGTTTTGTGTATGTGTGTGTGTGTGTGTTTATCATAAACTAAAGTCAACACTTCATGTGAAAAACAAAATAGTTGTGGCAGAACTATGTATAATTACGCAACAGCCGATTGAATTGTCGTCGGACATCTCTCTCATTATATAATATCTATAATATTGATAGATCGTTAAGCTCATACAGAAGCGTCTGGCCAATATGGATGTGATTGTGTTTATGTGTGGATAAAATTGATAATAAGGCGACATTTTAAAAAAAGAAGCTGGGAAATATATTTACAGATATCTAATGTTAACAAAATAATAGTTAATGAAACGTTCTTTGCACTTTGCACTTTTCGAATTTGTGTGTGGTGTACATGTTGTGTACTGTGTGTGTGGGTGTGTGAATGCTTGCTTAGGCTAGATGAGCGAAGCAAAATCGAGGAGCTGAAGGACCTTGAGAAAGTTTTGCAAACTGCTCGACATCAGGCGGCATCGGACAACTTCACCGTTCGCCTCTTATTTAATTATAGTATTTTCAAATTGCAGTCACGCTTTAAAGTCTCTCAATATGTGTTTGGATATATGCAGATATATATATATATATATATAGTTATTATCCGTATTAAGCTTAGATTTGATTTCTCACATATGGTTTAAATTTAGATCTATTCACTATGCGAAACAAACTTCATTATCTCTTAATGCTTTTTTTTTCGTTTGCATGATTTGCCTTTTTGTTTTTTAAAGTTTTAAACTTTTTTTGGACTTGACAATTTTGTGTGATTTTAAATTTTTTTTTGTAGTTTTTTCTAGGTTTTTTTTTTCTGTATAGTCGTAGTTTTCTCAAATTAAAAATTAACAAGTGCAAAAACTAAAGGTAAAGAATAAATGGTTTTTGACATGCTTCTAAATGCTTGGCGGGGTACGAAGTTCTGAGGTTTTTGGAGGTGACCACCAATTCGATGTTAGATCGGATCGATATAGACTGGGGCAGTGCAGTGCGACATGGGAAGCTGTGAGCCCGAGTCCAAGTCGGATTCCTATTTCTATTCCGCTGGCGATTGCGATTGCTATTGCGCTGGACTGGCTTGTGGTAAATGCTTAAATAACTAAAATTCGCTGGCACTTGAGCCCCGCTTGCCTCAATTTGGTTTTAAGGATTACAAGTTCTCGCTGCCTCTTAAACGATTACATTTTACATTTGCGCTTTTAGGTCACACACAAAAAATAATCATAATAATAGTTAGTAATCATATTCAAATATACGCGTTTTCTGGCTTCACTGTACCTTTGCATATAAGGTTATATATATATATGTATATTCCTTTGTAATTTACAAAATTTATTTGCATTAAGATCATTTGGTTTGTTGTGTATCAATTTCGTTTGATTTGTTTTCAGTTTTCGTTAGGTAATATTTGGATAGGTTATATCGTTATCGTTATGGTTATTAACTTTAATCGTATAGTACAACAGTTCATGGCATTACGTCAACTACTAACGCTGCTCTAAGTAGGAAAATATGCCTTGATTTTTGTTTCGCATTTAAAAAAAAATAAGGAGATAATCAACAGAACAAAAAAAATAAGGGCAATAGTTTCGTTATTTTTCCAAGATCATGGCTGGTTGGCACTGGTACATAGCAGACAGACCCCGCTGTGTGTTGTAGTTAGTGTGTGTGTCTGTGAGTGTGTTTTATGTGAGCATTGAGCATTTCGTAAGCAACCATTTTTAGTTCTTTGTCGAGGGTATGCGAGAAACAAACAATTAGAATCGTAACTACTAAACCAACGCGCGCTACGCAAATTGCAATAAACAAATTTCAAAAACTTCACTTAATTATGCTAAACGCTAACGACTGTTCCCACATTACGCTTGACTCAAATACTACAAAAGAATAATAAGAATGAATAAACAAAAGGATGTGGAGCAGTCAAAGCGAGCGCCCCCTCAAAACTAAGTCGTAGAAATTAACTTAAAACTAATCCAAAAAGTGTATCTGCATTATCGTGTTACTACTTCTGCGTCGATGACGAGCCCGATACCGTTACCGCTTGCGTTGCTGCTGCTGTTACCGCTGCGGATGATGTTGCTGCTGCTGCCGCTGATGTAGTGGCACGTGTTGAATTTGTCTGTGATCCTGCCGCAGGCTTCGGCTTTTGTTGCTGCTGCTGTCTCTTGTGTGGCGCCAGGCCTGAATTGCTACCGCCACGACGTAACTCGTGCTGTGATCCCTGATTGCGATTTGCCACCTGCGGCTTGTTGCCCAGGGATCCGCTACGAATGCGCACTGTGCTGCTGCCAAAGGAGCCTGTGCGTCTGCGGTTCTGATTGTAACCGCCGTATCCCTGCTGATACTGGTGGTGTTGCTGCTGCTGTTGTTGTTGCTGCTGTTGCTGCAACAACCTACCGACATAGTCGCTGCGATTTGTGATGGTAGTGTTTAGGCGACGACCTCCAGCCGTAATCACAGCCGTGCCCTCGCTCTCGGACACACTGCGGTGCCGGTTGAGCTGGCGTCCTGGATTTAAGCTGCCCACTCCTTGCAGCATCTCATTGATCTCCGGCTCCACCACGCGGAAGTCTTCAATGTTCTTGAAGCTCTTCAGGTACTCGGCCAGCTTAGGCTGCACCTCCAACTTTTCGCCGTTTTTGTAGTACTTCAGGAAGGCCCAGAACTTCTCGAGGCCGTACAGTTGACCTGGCGAAAAAATTGAAAATTAGTAATGACAACTATTTGAATTAGGGAAATATAGTATCAAAGGTAAGTTATCTTTGAGTACTTTCTTCGAATTCCCAAACAATTCCTACCTGTTTCATAATCGGCAACTGTCTCGTCCTGGAAATCCTGATAGACATTGGGTCTGAACTTCTTCTCCAAGCCGTATGAGAAGAACCGGAAAAGGCACTCTAGACCGTAGCGGAAGCCATTGCCGGCATCCTCCAAGGCCAGCGAACGGAACTCGTTGTACATGCTCTTGTTGAAGTTCTCGCGCAGGAAGAACGACCAGAAGCGGTACAAGGTGTTCATCTCCTGCGACTGACCGTATCCCAAACGGCGACGCTCCTTGAGGCAGCGCGAATGGTACTTGTGGTAGACCTGTTGAGTAAAGTTGTTCTCCTTGAGCAGCGCATGCGATGGATGCTGGAATATGGGCAGCGACTGTGGCACCGATGATCCAAACGATCCGTACGATGAGGCGGTGGGCGAAGTGCCCGCCGAGGATCCCATCGAAGTGGTGCGTGGTCGGTGCTCCACGGTGTCGAGCAGCCAACCGACGTGAGCCTCCACTGGAGGATTGGCGGTGTGACGGAGTTTCCTCTTCCTTGGCGTTCGTGGATCAATGGAGTGCGAGTTAGGAGCAGCATAGAAGCGGGCACGTCGAGATTTGAGAGTGTTGTTCAGCGTGGAATTGAGAGTAGTGTCACCCACAAGGGTTTCATCAAGATCCTCTTCAAATGGCGGTGGTGGTGGCACAACCTGTTGTGGCACCACAGATTTGTTTCGACCAACGGCCAGCTTTTCAAAGTCCGCCTGGGAAATCACATTGACAGTCTTGTAGTCAGTCACCACATTAGTGGTTGTCCACAGATCTTCCTCGTAGTTAACCAGACCATCGTTGATGATGTTCTCCAAATCCTGGGTGATTTTCGTGCGCGATGTAAAGTCAGCGGTGCGATCGTATCCCTCGTGTTTCGGAGCCCGACCCACTTGGGCGACAATCAGCAGCTTATTAATGTCACGATCGGCAAACTCGTAGTCGGACTCGTCGTCGTCGGAGAAGTTTTCGGTAAAGTTGTTGATGCGTCCGGTTCCAGGGGGTAGGGGGTCCATTAGCTCCTCGTCAAACTGGAAGTCTAGTTCTTCCTTTTCGGCATGGCACTGAGCGGATGGCGGAGCAGCTGTTTTGGATGAGGATTTGGAGTGGGTTTTGGAGTAAGCAGCATTGCCAGATTTAATGTTGTTGTTGTTCGTTGTGGATGTAGCGGTGGAAGTGGTGGTGGTTGCATTGGTGGCTGAGGAAGCTTTGTTGGTGGTTACACACACAGTGGCTGATGATGAGGCGTTGGATGGGGCGTTGTTGGACGTGGACTTGGACGTGGACGAGGTGTTGTTCGTTTTGACATTGTCGTTATTGTTGTTGTTGAGCGTTTGTGAAAGCGGTGGCTGTTGTTGTTGTGGTGGTGTAGTAGCGTTTTCTTTGATAGCATTTGTTTTGGAGCGTCTCTTTACCTCTTTCCACAAGCCCTCCGGCTCCGCCACCAAAGCAGCTGCCCCAGCTCCCTTGCCCGCTGCAGCAGCAGATCTCTTGTCCGGCGTCGAACTTGACTTGGGCTTCACACTCTCTGCCAGTCCACTTAAATGTCCAGCCAGCTCAGCGGCACCGCCCTCCACTTGCTGGGTCAGCGCACTGATCGCATTCACAGAGTTGAGAGCCGCAATGGTTGAAGATCTCTGCTGCTGCTTATCCTGCAACATCTTGGGCACCAAATTTTGGGAGTTCCGTGGCACCGGCGGCGGCGGAATGCTGCTCAGCGGCTTAGCGGCCATCGCCGATGTTAGAATGGGCGGCGGCGAACCGACCTCAGTCTGCTCCTCCAGTTTCTCATGCCCCTCCTGTTTCTCTAACTGTTCCTGCTCCAGCTGGCCAACAACCTTAAGTTCCCCTTCCTGAGGCTCTGCCACATCGGTAATGGGCCATGTGGTCGGTGTCGTCTTGGTACGCACCCTGTAGCCCTCGACGAGCTCCAGTTTATCCGATTCCTTGATGGCGTTCACTATCACAGAAACGTCGGTGGTCAATGCGAGAACGCGATGGAACGAGGCAATCAGGGTAACTGGGATATAGCCCTCGGGGTCCATTTTGCGGCGCAAAAAGAAGTCGCCGGTAAGATTGTCGGCGCTGAAATAGTATTCACTATATGGGATGGAGAGGAGAGAATATAGGGGTCAACAAAAAGGTTATCATGTATAGGGGATATAATGCCTTTTAGCTGCCGAGTTTAGTTTTTAACTTGGAAAATATTTTGCTTAAGGATAGGAAATTCTCGGGACTGTGAAGACTTTCTATAACTATAGTTTATAATTAATTATATCTCTGAAGTATTCCCCAAATCCAGCAAAAGGCATTAGACAAATATTTTATATGATAGGGATCTACTTACACTTGCTTCTTGATTGCCTCCTTGACGCTGTTGGCGTCCATTTCGATGTAGGCGGCGGGCACATTGCCAAAGTAATGGGTGCCCATGAGCACATATGACTGCGAGTCGGCGCCAGCGGCGTCCGCTGGCAGATAGTTGGCATACTCGCCCGAAGCTAGCAGATGGCGTGGTATGCGATGAGTCGGGCGACCTGGTCCCTGTCGGGAGAATCCGCCCCGGCCTTGCCGCCCGCCCCGGTACGGCGTCCGGTAGCGACGCGGCCCGCGCGCTGTTGACCCAGCTGCTGTTGCCCCGGCACCACCCGCTGCTCCAGAGCGCTGCTCATCGACCGCTGCTGTGGTGGTGCTGCTGCTGCTACGCCAGGAATCCACGCGCTCGGACGTAGAAGCCGCTGAGCGTGACCCGTACGGATGCCGGCCACCGTGTGGATACCGCGACTCGCCTCCCGCTCCTCCAGCCCCTGGCTGGCGGTCATGGTAGACGCGCGGCGGACGGCGCTGGTCGGCGCCATCATCGCTGAGCCGCCGATTTGGCCGGCCGCCAATCGGTTTGGGACGACTGGACTTAGCCAGGTCGATGGGCAGCGGACGCCACTTGTGCTTGGGTATCTTCTTGGTGAAGGCAGGCCCGGCAGCGGTGCCAGAAGCTCCTGCAGCAGAATTGGCCGCTGGCTCAGCGTCTCGCTGGGCTTTGGCATCATGACTCGTGCTGGCAACAGGCGCAGTTGTGGCTTGGCTGTTGCTATTGCTACTAGCGTTGCTGCTGCTTGGATTGCTGGTGCTGCTGCTTGTGGTGGGTGCGACGTTAGACTCTGTGGCAACTTCACTTGAAGTGGTATTGCTGCTGGCTGCGGCTGCTGCTGATTTGGCTGGCTGTTGTTTTTTCGTTGGGTTGCGCTTGGGTTCGTTGCTGGTGGCTTTGCCACTTCCAGAAATTCCGCCAATTAGCGTCGGCCAGTCACCAACGTTGCTGAAGTCGCTGGCCTGCAAAGGAAATGGTGAACATATTAGAATTACAGACTAGAAGAAACTTATCAATATTGAAATCTTTAGTTCTCTCAAGAAAAATTTAAATAGCTGAACTTTTCTTTCAAGGTTTTCAAAAACCTTGTAGTACTTTTTAAGCTTGTTCTTAGTTTATTTCATCAGACCCATTAAAGTACTTAGTTAATTGATTTCTCACCTTATGATTGACCTTCTTTTTGTCCTTTACCACGACTTTGGCAAGCGCATCAGCCTGACTGGCATCAACTGTAATGAAACAAGCAGTGCTGGGGTGAGTATATTGAAGTACAAGAACAGTGTTTTAAAAATAAGAAATCAGGCCATGCCAGCATCAGGTCAACAGAGAACCCGAACCCGAGAGGGATACCAGAGAGCGGGAGGCACGTGAGATGAAAACGAGAACAAGTGCGGGAGAGAACAGTCACATGGTGGTCAGGTTCTTTCATTCTCATCTCTTGGGCCAAAACAACTCCTCCATGGGGGGTAGGCAAAATAAATGAGAATTTACAAAAATAACATACATAAATAAGAGAAAATAATAGGAAAACAAAAATATTGGATGAAATGTATGTATTATATCTCAAATGTTCCTTGAATCATCCACATTTATAAAGATATTTATAAAAAACTTGTTCGACATTTTAGTTTTATATGCAAAATATGTTCAAAAATTGATCTATACGAGGTGTGTTCAAAAAGTAAGGTGACTTTTCAAATTTCGCGGGCAACATATTTTCGATTATCGTTTTTTTTGTTTTGTTATATTGGTACACTCTTCCCTAACATCTGTACCAAGTTTCAATGGAACATCCTCTTTTGTTTGGTTGTGAGAGGCGTAAAGTTACAAGTTGTTTTGCGAGCTCGGCGATTTTTTGCTATCGAAAAATATGGATCAAAGGATTTGCATCAAATTTTGTGTAAAAAATAAAATTAAGTGCTCTGAAACACTTGAAATGTTGACAGTGGCATACGGTGAAACTGTTCTGAGTAAAAAAATGTGTACAAGTGGTACAAACTCTTCCAAGATGGCCGGGAAGATGCCAATGACCAGCCTCGCTCTGGACGCCCAAGCACGTCAACAACTGATGAAAACGTTCAAGCAGTGACGAAAATTGTTTTGGAAAATCGTCGAATCACTATCAGAGAAGTTGCTGAAGATGTCGGTATATCGCTTGGCTCGTGCCATGAAATTTTTTCAAACGTTTTGGGTATGAGTCGTGTGTCAGCGAAGTTTGTTCCGAAATTGCTGAATTTTGAGCAAAAGAACCGTCGCATGAGCATCGCTCAAGAGCTGTTGAATGACGTCAACGACGACCCAGATTTACTCAAAAGGGTCATAACTGGTGACGAATCATGGGTATATGGTTATGATATCGAAACCAAAGCCCAATCGTCCCAATGGAAGAGCCCAGACGAGCCAAGACCGAAAAAAGCAAAAAATCGCCGAGCTCGCAAAACAACTTGTAACTTTACGCCTCTCACAACCAAACAAAATAGGATGTTCCATTGAAACTTGGTACAGATGTTAGGGAAGAGTGTACCAATATAACAAAACAAAAAAAACGATAATCGAAAATATGTTGCCCGCGAAATTTGAAAAGTCACCTTACTTTTTGAACACACCTCGTATATCATAGAAATATTGAAAAAAAAAAGTTGCTAAGGCCCTAGTTCTAAGACTATGTCGAGGTCGTTGGACTCTTGAGATATTTACAAGTTTTTTGGCAGTCTTTCCATTGACATACTATGGAATTTTAAGAACATTTTGTGTAATAACAAATATATGCTTAGATTTTAAGTGATATTTGTGAATACTCAAATTAATAACTATATTATTAATAACTATAACTATCTAGCTATATTTATGGCTTTTAGCCTTTTTTCCTACTTCACTTAAGATTAATTGAGTTTTGTATGGAAAATTTTCTTTCATCCACGGCACTCACCAGTTGTTGTTGTGGTTGCTGTTTCAGTTATTGGAGCTGCTGGTGGAGGTGCTGCTGCTGTTGTTGCTGCCGCGGATGATGTTGTAGCTGCTGTGCTTGCTGCTGTTGTTGTCTGTGTAGCTGTTGTTGCTCCCTGTTGCGGTTGCTGTTGTGTCTTTTTGTTGCTGGCGGTGTTCTGTGCGTTATTGTTGTTTTGGTTGGCAGTCTGCTTGTTTTGTTGCTGCTGCTGTGCCTTGGGATGTAAAACACGTTTGTCCAATGGAGAAGTTCCTGCCTTTGGGCTGCCGGATTGTTTAGCCGATATCTGTGAATATAACAACAAACACATTTCAAGAATGTGAGTTAATTTTCACAGAGTAGAGAAAGTAACATAGAAAAATGGGTAAAAATCAATGCAACTTCAACTGAACTCCCTATGCGCAGTGTCCCTAACCCAGATTTAGTTCACGACAAGGGTGGCTATCTTCTATATATACTTTAGAGAGCGGTTAATTTCTCGATTTGGCACTGGAAAATTACCTCGTTTTTGTACAAGAACTTTTAGTTTCTTAGTCTTAGTCCACTTTTAATCAGTTGTCACTGCGGGTTTTTCGCTTATCTTTGTTTGTTTTGCTTTTCATACAACACTTTTGCTATAACTAGCAATTAGCACAGTTGTTGTTGCTGCTGCCGCTATTATTACTTTTATTGGGCCTTTAGCTTTATTTAAACAATTGCCTGGTAATTCTCAACGAGTGGTGCGTCCGTTCTCTCGAAACGTTGGATGAGTTCTGTGCGATAGCGACAGTTTTTCGGTACGAATATGCCTCCGCCTCTTAATCTCTCTCTCTCGCCCTTCCTCTCTCTCACTCCACACTGTTCGCTGTCCACGCGCTGGCTACGTGAGCAAAAACGAAGACGACGATAGCACAACAACAAAGGCAGAGGCGGAGGCATAAAGCACAAACACAACAACTGGTTTTACAGCGCAACATAAAAAAGGATACAGTAAGGCTTCTGTTCGTGAATAGACAATTTGAAAATGTACAATCGGGACTTCTCTTTTCTTTTCCTCCGCTAAGTACCAATAACAAAGTTTAAAATGGATATAATTTTCATATATAAGAGATCGTCTTGAATGCTTATTTGTTTTTTTCATCTAAAGAAGTACCACTGTATCCCCAGATCCAAAACAAAAACAAAACAGAAAACAGCCGATGCGCCGGTTCATGGATGCGTGAGAGAACGAGTGAACGAGTGAGCTCTTTGCCGGCGAGAGAGTAGGCGCAGGGCACCCTGTAAATGTATCTGAACCTTTCTGTGTATGCAACGGATACAGGTTTTCGCTCAGTGTGCGTACGTGCGTTTTATTTTATCGTTTTGTTTTTGTACGCATTTTCTATTAAAGTTGTTTTGATCGGCATCGAAAGTTCACGCACCCACAATTCAAAGCAAATAGATCGAAACAGGTGATACGCATATCTCCATATTAAGCAAAACCTAACGATTATAAACATAAACATTAGCCATCTCACTCGCACACGAGGAAACTGTGTAACGCAGCATAAAAAAGAGGCAAAACAAAACAACATGTGATTTTCGGCACGTAGGCCATGCGAAGGAGAGTCGAAAAGTGGAGAAACGTGGTGGGAAAACTTCAAAACAATGAGAGAGGATGAAAGAAGAGAGAGAGTAAATCGAGATGTTGCTTAAATGGTCCAATAAAAAATATTGTACAAACAAGTACAGATAAAAAAATCTTATTAAAATCGAAGTTCGAAGAAAAAAAATACTGTAAAATATTTAAATACATTTAAAGAAGTAACACTCCTAAAACATAAGTAAAGTGTGAATAATTTTTGTTTATTTCCTTTCTATCAAAGGCTTTATTTCCCATATCATTAGAAACTTGTAAGATATAAGTTTGACCTTAAAGCACTATCAATTCATATGCCATAAAACAAAGCTGAAATGACTTTTCATAAACAAGATACGGAAAATTACAGAATTTTCGTGAGTTTTTGCTTATATTCAATCCTATAATTATGATATAAATGTAAGCAACTTCTTAAAATTAGAAGAAATTAACAAAACATATTCCTTACATCCATTTTAACCAATGAATATATCTATTTTAAAAGTATACACTTATGGACAAAATAATAGGTGTGTTTTATTTTTCATTTTTAACTTTTTATTTCTAAGTCATGCTTTCTCCAATCAGCTCAAAACAAAGTTTTTTTAAAACGTATATTAATTGTCTTTAAAAGAAAAAAAGAAACAATACTATAAACCTTATCATTAACAACAGAAGTAGATTTTTTCCTAAATTGGAAATTTTTGGCTGGACACAATAATAGGTGTAAGGAACTAAACGTTTAAACTAAATGGATATTTCACTATTTTTGATCTTTTTGTACATTAAGTTGAGTATGTAGCAGTTAGTAGCCGGTATACTCTCCATTATTTTTGAGAACTTTCTCCATTCGTCTTGGCATGGATGATATCAGCTTGCGACAAGTTCCAATTGGGATGGAGTACCATGCTTTTTGGACAATATCCCAAAGTTGGTTTTTATTTTGACACGAGGACCTTCCTACCTCTCTTTTGAGTTCACCCCAGAGATTTTCGATGGGATTTAGGTCAGGGGATTGACTCGGCCATTCCAGAAGATCCACATTTTGCTCACGAAACCACTCCCTGACTAGTAGAGAGGCGTGTTTTGGGTCGTTATCCTGCTGGAACTTCCATAAAATTGGCATATTATCCTCAGCATATGGCAGCATCACTGTCCCCAATAAGTCTCTGTATACGAATCTGTCCATTATTCCATCAATGCGATGAATCGGACCAACACCATTCCATGAAAAGCATCCCCATACCATTAGGCTACCACCTCCATGTTTTACAGTCTTACATGTGTACTTGGGATCAAATTCTTTGCCTTTCGGACGGTGAACATTCCTTTTAGCATCATTTCCAAATAAATTTATTTTGGTTTCGTCACTCCAGAGAATGTTATGCCATTTTTTCTCACCCTCCGGTCCTGACCAGGCTTTACGATCTAGAGCAAATTGTTTCCCCATCTTTTTATTTTTCGGCCGAAGCAAAGGAACTTTGCGGGCAATCCTACCTGGTAGGTTTGCCATTGCCAAACGTCGTCGAACGGTCCGTGATGACACAAAATTTCCAATTTCGTTGGAAATCCTCCTGGAAGACTTGAACGGGTCTCCTTTAACCAACTGAACCATGCGATTATCGGCCCTAGATGATGTTTTTCTGGGTGCTCCCCGAGTTTCACCTACTTTTTTCGGTTTTAACGCATTGGTTACAAAATTCTGAGATCGTTTCATTAAAACAGCAATCGATTTATATGTTTTTACTTCATCTCGGAGTCGTCGAATGAGCTTCCCCTCTTCCGCACTGCAATGTCTCCCACGGCCCATCTAATACAATTTTAGTGATTGTTAATTCCCGATTTAGTTAATTTATCGTAATACCTTACTTTCTGCAACCAAACAATTATCCTAATTAGCTTTAGATTAAAGTTTTGCTCGACACACCTATTTTATTGTCCAGGCGAATTTGCAGTCTGAGCAATAAAATATCCACAATTTTTTTCAGAAAGCTTCTGACTTCCGGGAATTCACCAAAAATTGATCGTAACAGTGTAACCATAATAAAAAAGTATAGTTTTCCCATAATATGTTATGTTTATATCAATTAAAATCGATATCCTCAAAAAAAAAAATTCACACCTATTATTTTGTCCATGAGTGTATAAATTTGTCACGCTTGTACTAAATATATTTAAACACTTTCCATGCAGTTGATCACGTATTCATCTGAACTCCAAGGATAAATGCATCACATCATGCCAATAAACTATCAACGACAGCAGCCATTAGATCATTTCGTTCTAGGTTCTATGAAAAGTAAATGGAAAATGGCAATGACTCCACGCAATTGCAAGGACAAAACATTTGAATTTCTGAATGAGTCATGAAAACTCACAGTTTTGCCAAGGAAAAAGGACTCTTCCCTATGAGTCATAGGGTTGGTAATTTTCCACTCTAATTACTGATAGAAAACGTTTTCCCACAAACATTCGATTAACGTGTGCCACTTGGCAAGCACATGTTTTGAATTCTATATTTATATACGAACATGTTTCGTATCACTTTTAGACATTTTGAACCCCCACATAATTGCTGACGTACTTGGACATTTGTCATTAGATTTTAAATACTATAAAACCTATAGGTAAGATTAAAAACATTCATTTAAATGGATGGTTGAAGGTCATTGATAGTATGAAAATCCGATTGATTTGACTTTCTAATTCTAAACAGTGATTCATTAAGAACTTTGCAATTTTAATTGTAGAAAAGTACACTTGAGTAAACAGCACAACAAACTTGAACTTGCCTATAAATAAAGCTTAAGTATCCAAAGTTTTTCGGCGTTTATTCTTGAAAAACAACACTTCTGAAGTATATTTTTAAGTATCTTGTAAGTGCACCTCATCGAGCGATCGCTGAAAGACAACTGAATCGCCTGCAATGCAAAATGACTATTTTAAATGGCATTAGGCATTAGACACATTAGAATCGGGCTAGCACGATAGCAACAACTGAAATCGTATAAAAATACGACAAAGAGAAGTCAAAATAAAGGCAAACAATGACCGAGAGCCGGGCAAACGTGCAAAAAGACCCACATTCTCTGGGTTCTCCAAGTCAACAGTCGCGATTTGCTCGTAATCAGTTTGAGGTTATAGTGCAGGCGGGATCGGGGTGGCATATAGTATACGAGGTGTGTTCAAAAAGTAAGGTGACTCTTCAAATTTCGCGAATTTCAAATTTTTCGATTATCGAAACCTTTTAGAAGTTATACGAGGTGTGTTCAAAAAGTAAGGTGACTTTTCAAATTTCAAATTTTTCAAATTTTTCGATTATCTTCAGTTTTGGGAACAAGAAAAAGTCACATGGGGCCAAATCCGGTGAATATGGTGGCTGAGGCATTATTGTGGTGTTGTTTTTGGCCAAAAAATCCAAATCCTTTGATCCATATTTTTCGATAGCAAAAAATCGCCGAGCTCGCAAAATAACTTGTAACTTTACGCCTCTCACAACCAAACAAAAGAGGATGTTCCATTGAAACTTGGTACAGATGTTAGGGAAGAGTGTACCAATATAACAAAACAAAAAAATCGATAATCGAAAAATTTGAAATTCGCGAAATTTGAAGAGTCACCTTACTTTTTGAACACACCTCGTATGTATACCCCTTTTTTGAGGTTGCGAGTCGGTCGACGGGTCTTTC